ACCGGATTATTTTCAACATGCATGTTAATTAGGAAAAATTGCATCTTCCTCTTGAATTTTGGTAAAGATGACACTTTACTCCAAATATTTTAGAGAATTTATGATTTTATAATATTAAAAATCTTATTATTAAGATTGATGATAAGAGTTCAAACCTCCATGACAACCAAATATTATAATTTTTTTTTTTATCGTTTCCCTCGTTTTAGATTAAAAACTTTCTTGTTCCATTATATATATTTTTGGCCAGATTCTTATTCCATTATATAAACTAGATTTATCCAGAAATGTTCATAGTTCATTCATGGGTGAATTTCATGGGTATTCAGTCATCCATCTTTATCAAAATCAACATTTTGGTTATTCAACTCATAACTCTAACAAAATAAATAGTCAGATGATGTGGCACTCATTGGCGGAACTAAAGGGGTGAAACCACTCGCTTGTGGCCACTCTCCCCATCGTGTTGCCACGTAGCACTAGTATCAGATCCCTAAATCAGAAACTGATTTCAACCGGTGGCTTACGAACTTTTTCCCTTTCTAATTTTAAAATGGATTTAAAGGGTTTTTCAAAAAGAACATCCTAAAATTGAATCTCCTTCTTTGAGACCAAGAACGGATTTCAGCTTTCTTTAATGGTTAAATATTAATTTTGATCTATTAACTTTAAAGTTTTACATAATTTTAATTTGTTTATCTTTTTATGTATTTTTTTGTCCTTTAATTATAAAAAAAATACTTTTTTTATCTTTCATTAGTTTATCTATTAAATTTATTTAAATATACACATTTTTAATTCTTCAATTTTAAATTGAGGGACTAAAAATATGTATATATCAAAAGTTAAGAGATTAAAAAAATGTAAATTTAGATAAATTTAACAAGATTAATTGACGAAATGATTAAAAAATATATTTTTCATAGTTAATAAATAAAAAAATACATAAAAAATTAAGGAACAAAAATTATATAGATCTTAAAGTTGATGGACGAAAATTAACATTTAACCTTCTTTAATCTCTGTCTATTTCATGCACCAGAAAAACATATACATGCGTTGAAAGATGACAAAACTCTGTGGAAGAAAGACATGGTTGAAGGGAAATGATCGATTGAGGGCTAAATTGTGGCTGGAAGGAAAAATTATGCAAAAATCATAAGAATTTGGGGAAACTTAAAGGTAAATTCCTTTTCAATTCAAGGTGTCTTGGTGTAGAGATAGGAAATTTAAAAAGATGAGAGGGGATTATGAGTGAAAGCTAGCAATTTAAAAGATGTTAGGGTTTAGGGATTCCATCTTTTTCTCTTCATCTCAAAAGAATTTCAGGGTGTTTTTGGAGTTGAAAGTGGGTGAAATTTGTGGAGGAGAAGGGAAAATCCTGAATTTGTCCCTGATTACTTCTTTGTGTTGTGATTTCAAACCTGTTCCATTTTGTAGAATTCATAACTTAAATTCACATAGAAGCGTCTAATTGTGTTAGTTATTAATGTGTTAATGTGATAGTTTCTGATCTTGATCATACAATGGTAGGTTTCATAATTTCTTGCTTCGCTCCGTAGTGATGTAGTGGTCGTATTGCTATTAGTTACTTTAATTGGACATGGTGCTCTTTCTGCAGGTTGATCATCATGATGTTGAGGATGCATCCCTACTCTGCTGCTACATATATCATGCCCAAGTGGAAATAAAAAGTCCCTGGTAGTTTGGAGTGTTGGCTGAAGGATTAACTTGAGTATAGGTATAGATAGAAGTATATAGCTTTTCTTGGGAAAACTAGGAGAGCAAATTTATCCTAAAATAATAAACTGAAGAAAACTTTGAGCTTAAATGCTTGACCAAAATGTACTTTATGTAGCTGTACCTAGAACCAGTACTAGGACTAAGTTACATTTTAGATCTACTTTGACTGGTACCTATTGACATTTTTGCATCAACTTCTATTGATTTTCTTTGTCTAATGAATCTACTAAGAAACACTGTTTCCACTTCTCATTTTGTTGGAATACTTTATGATCTAAGTTCAGAAAAAACCACCAATTTTAATTTCTTTTTTCTTCAGGATCCATCTGCTGTAACTGTCCATCCATCTGATGTTGAGGAAACTCTACATGAACGCATACAGGAATTGAAAGAGAGGTATGGAGACAAGCAGGGAAAAAAGTTTCAGGTTTGGGTGGATCATGTATTATCTACACAGATTGGTTCAAGCACATGGTTGGTGAATTTCGATAAGTGGGAGCAGTGTGGTGAGATTTCTTTATATGTTCTTCTATATCTGCTCAATCTTTGTGTCTTTTCAATTTAAACTAGATGTCATATCCGTGCTAATTTATTTACCTTTCTTGCATTCATCTCTTTGTGGATATGGTAGTAAATGTCTCTCCAACTTGGAAGACCAGTAATAGGAATTTGCATGTGAACATAATTGCCTCTGAGCCCTTGATTTCCCTTTTAGTATATTTATATGGAGGCCAATCCACGGGAGTTTCTTAATCTGATAGATGCTGCTTTATAGCAGAAGATTGTTTTAAACCTTGTCAAAGACTTGTATGTCATAGCATTTCAAGAATCCCAAGACTACAATGCCAAGGGTTAACTTGTCATCCTAATGCTTCATTTTACATATTTTCCTTAGAAAAAAAAGAAAACATTTTCAAATCCAGATGTTAGCCATCAGTCGTAGTATAAGTATACACTAGAGACTAATTATAAGGTAACTCATACTTAGGGCTCTTACTAACAGTTGGCTTTTCTACTTATGTTCTTATGCTGACTTTTGTAGGTGACGTGCAGTGTTGTTGTCCAGCCAGTGGAAAGATCAGTGCTACGGTAAGAAAGCTAGAAAATTATTTGAAATGATTTGCTTAGATGATTGATTTGTGGATTTCAGGAGGGCGGTGCATGGTTCACATGGGTTCACTTGGATGCATGTACAATAGACGTGGCTGCAAGGATTGAAAATGGAAGACCATTCAGACTTGCTGTTCTAGATTGATATCAGATGCTATCCCTTACCTTTTCAGCGCTGGAGTATTCAATATTCAATTGAAGTAAATGTACAATGATGTTAATATTTCGTTTCTTATGCAAGGATCAAATCCTAAAGCTTTGTTTGGGTTGAAAGTATACAGAAGTCCAATTAGGGTCTTCCACCAAAAAATCCATCCAATACAGCTAATAACCTGAATTTGAATAGAGATCGTTAAAAGTGAGCTTTTCTAGTGTTTGGGGATTCATGGATCAAAAACCAATCTGCATATTTAACACATTGTTTCAAAAGGGCTCACCAAATACCACATTCAACTAGTGTTCTTTTTCTCTCTTTGCCATAAAATGGAAAATAATCAAACTCAAAAATAAATCAAGCAACTAACTCAATAAAAATTATCACATCTACAAAATCAAGACATTAGATTTTTTAATATGAAAATTTTAATATGAAAATTCTTTAAGGAGAAATATCACGGGATCTAGTTTAGGAAAAAACATCCACTATAAAAATAGCAATATAACAAAGTTTCATCTACTCTAGGAAACACTAGAGGTTGTACAGAACGATAAATCATCAAGAATAAATTGTTGGATCACTAATGTCATGATCATCACCAAAATAAAGCTTGAAGTCAAAATCTCCAATCAAATTGGGAATCTCATTGTGCTGAGTCTGCACCAAGGGGAATTGGAGACCAAATCACTGTTGATCATCTAGTAGAACCGTAACTCCTCTGCTAACCTTCCTGCTGCTGTTGCAACTCACTCTCCCTGTCTCTCTATTGTTTTTGCAGTGTTGATCAAAACCAGCCACCAGTCGTTATTTAAAGCTCCACTGACTTGTTACATTCAAAGTCCAATCTCAAGCAGTTCATGTATGCGTTCATGAAGAGTCTTCTCAACTCCAGATGGATAGATGCATACAACAAAAGAATCCTGAAGAAATAAGAAATTAAAATGGTTGGTTAACATAGTTCAGTTTGGCATAAATGAGCTTAATGATAAGTTCTCCTACAACTAATAAGTGGGTTTAAAATTTTAAAATTTGCGCATGTTAAAGGATAAAAATGTGACGATGCACCTTGAAATGGTTTGTCCATAATGCTGCCTCTGAAGCTTTACTCCATCCACCTTTATATATATATATATATATATCCTCGAATTGTCCTTAATTTTGGGAAGTGATCAAGGGAAGTTACTAGAAAAACTCAAAGAAAATCCACGTCCTACAAAAATGAATTAAAGCTTAGTAATATCTAGAAATGATAGAGATTCTCTTTGAACAATTGAGGGATGAGAGTGAATTTTGCCTTACTAGAGAGGGCATTTTTTGGAGGGTAGAGTTTACAGCTTCAAGCTTGCAACTATGACAGATTTGTGAACGCCATTTATAATCAAGTTGTTAGATCTTGAAGCTACTTTGCAAGTCAGCCCATTGTTAAGTAAAGCAGCGGATAATTAGAGCAGCAATGTTTGTGCTGCAATCTTGGCTATGACTTAGGATGAATAAAGAGAGAACACAGCACACATTGTTGGATCATTCATTTCTGACTCATTATACTGGAAGCATCATCTCCCACATGAAAGGCAACATTAATGTCAAAGCATCCAGCACCTACTTGTTGAAGAAAGATCTTGCCTAAAAAGGGAGGCTTGAACTTGTAATCTTGGATCAGTCACCTTTTAACTAATCCTGTAGTTGACTTGAAAAAGGTAAAGGGTTTAATCAGTTGCCATAAGATTTAAGACATGAACTAAGTTGGACATTACATAGTAGTAGGGAAGCAATCACTAAAATTATGGGAAATGTGAAATTAATAAGAGATGAGGATGGAGGCAAATAAGGGAACGCGTGTGACACTAACTTCTTGATATCTGCTTGATCTCCATGCATTGGAATCAAAATTAAGATAAGGAAAAATGTTATACAAATAGCTGGTAAAACAAATACAAGACAACAAAAATCAATTAGATTCGAAATGAGCAAGCACATGATATTTTTTTTTCATCAACAAATGAAATTATTAAACGGGGTAAAAGCAGTACCCCTACAATTTAGAGTATGCTCATAACTTCTGGCACACAAAAGGAAAAAGGAAGTCACAAAACCAAGGGGTCCTACATAGGCCTAAAAAGATTTTGCTATCTCCTCGGCACAAGCAACTGGGAACATGAAAAAAAGGATGGGAAATTAGAAAAATCAAAGGCAAAGACTGAAATTTGAGAAAATAATTCATTTAGAGTTTGATAAAGACAAAAAGCATCAATTGTAACATAGAAGGGAAAGATGGATAAGTGAATTGTTGAAATGAAATCAAAGTAAAATAAAAACACAAAGCTATAGAAATCTATAAGATCTGAAAAAAAATAAAATAAAAGCTGCAAAATAAATTACAATTATTTAGACAATCTTCATTGTAACCAATATGTATTAATCAGGAGAAGGAAGCAACGGGAAATGATCATTTAATTCTAAGGCAGCTAACATCATAGGTAGCAGAGGAATAGACTAGTATGTCATCAAAATGTATAACTTTGCTCAAGTAAAATGTAGTATACAGATAGCTTGATATATCAGTTTTGATTCCTTGTCCTAAACAATAACACAATAGCAAACCAAATAGGCATCACAAGAAAATTTTAAAGAGGTAGTTTGGATACTTACGGGTAACTTCTGCTTCCCCAGATAAAAAGCTTGTAAAACTGTAGCTTGGCTTAGTCAGATTACAAGCTTGCTTAATTCAGCAAAGGCATCCGCATTCCAGTTCAACATACAGAAAAATCTCATTTGAACATCAACAACTCCTTGTTGCAAAAGTCTTCCCAATTCTTTGGAATGGAAAACATGAGCTCCTGCAGTAATCAAATTTAAAATTCAAATTAGTTGGCTTGCCTAAGAACATTATTTTGCAAGTAGCAAGCTCCTTGGGTGGTTGTGAATTTCCATAAGGCCAAGGCCAGCCACTCATCCCCTTTGAAATAATCTCAAAGCGTAAGTCATTTGTGAGGCAAGTGAATGCATGCATGTTTTCAGAGAAAAATAAATTTAAGGTGGATAATAAATAGTAAATAATAATATATAACTAATGAATCCAAGAAATGAAAGAAGTACTAGTGACATTGAGGAGTGGCTTGGCTTTATTTACCTCAACAATTGATTGTGGCAAGCTGGATAGCTCTTGTGGTCAACCTATGTAAAATGGATTTGCAACGCATATATATATAAGAAAAGGCAGCACAAGTCAAAGAAAAGTGTTATCTATATACACTGAGTATTAAAGATTGTTCTAAATTCTCATATGAAAAGCATAAAATGGTGATGCCACTTTCAGTTCACACCAAGGTCTTATTACCTCATTCTCACATATTTTAACATTGGGGATGTCACGGGTGAGAGTCCAGTAGTCTCCTTTCGCCTCAAAGCGCTGTCGTTTTAGATGCGGACACTTGTCAATGTATAGTCCTCCAAACGAGGGACGGAAGGCTTCCTTTGGCAAAGATCGTAGCTTCGGGCAGTTAACTATCCATAACAGTTCGAGGGAGCTTAGGTTTTGGAAGAGCCCCTCAGGTATAGATTTCAAATTTTCTTCATCGTAGATCGAAAGAGAGGCTAAAGAAGAAGGCAGCACAATATCCAGAGGGAATTTCTGCACAATTTTTAACCATCGAAGAGACGTAAGGTTTTGAAGGCCCATCGTCAAAGCCCCACCTGGGATATTTAGAGCCTGAAGCAATGTGAGCTGGTACATTGTATTCGGCACACACTTGAGATTCTCACACCCTAAATAAAGATATGTTAAGTTTGGGGGCAAACTCCCATCTGGAATGAACTCGATGCTGGAACAAGTTGTCATCTCTATACCTTGAAGAGATTTTAACTGGTACATCGTATTTGGGAGGGATTTCAAATTATTACAACCCATGATCGTCAGACGCTTAAGATTGGGAGTGCATAACCCTAACTCGTCTGGCAAGGACTCTAAAACTTCACAGTGGTAAATAAATAATTCAATGAGATTGCTGACGTAATTAATGGTGGGTAAACTTTTCAATATTTCACAACTTCCAATTACAATGCATTGGAGTCCCGTACAATATTGCAGCATCCTCTCTGGAAATGATTCCAACCACTTGTAATCAGTAACTTCAAATTCCTTGACAAAAGCTGGCAGTGAAGAATACAAACATGGAACATTCCCTATTTTCAACTTTAGATTGCTATTATTAATGTCACCATCAATATCCGGTAGGGACCCTAGACCTTTACAGTCATTTATACTCAAGTATTTGAGTGTGATGGGTAATTTGCCTCCTGGAAAAGACTTGAGAGAATCACAACCACCAATTTCCAACTCTTCCAGTCTCGACATCAACATACTAGTGTTGCTGCTACTGCTTCCATCCATCCTCACCATCATCGCATCAGGTAATGACTCCAAAGCTCCACATCCCACAATGCTAAGATGTTTAAGATTAAAAGGCAAAAGGCTTTGTTCTATTTTTGTCCCTTCCTCCCACAAACAAGTAAGATCATTGCAATTTGCAATATTCAGAGTCTCAAGTGTTGTCAAGAATTGTGTAAAACTCTCAGGCAAACAAGTCAGTTTTGAAATGTTCACAATTTTCAAATTAACAAGCGAGATGAGATCACCCATACTCTTCAAAAGCACCGCATTACAACCTTTAACATCCAACTCTTTAAGTGAAGAAAGGTTGTTGGGTAATTGGCCTAGCAACTTAGGACAATTTTCAATCACAAGCCTACGAAGAAAAGGGAATTCACCTTCACTTCCAGTTGGAGAAGTCCATTCCTTCCAATTTAACAAGTCTTGAAAAACCAATTCCTCCAGTAATTGAAAAGAGTCATGTTGCCCATAAAACTCAAGACCCACAGCTTCTATTGCCTCCATGCCCTTAATAATCAATCTTTTGAGAACAGGTAGTAGGCCAAGTGATGGTAACAAAGTGCATCTCTTACAATTGCTGAGCTCCATGGATGATAAATTCAAAAATAATAATGGATCACAAACCCAGTTTGGGAAACTCCTGCCACCATAGCAAGAAATTTGAAGACTTTTCAAATTTGAATGAGGTTTTAACCAGCTGAGGACCTGCATTTCGAGGACTGATTCATCTCGATTGTTATCAAGAATAGCCCACTTTAAGACTAACTTTTCCAAACCATGGATCTTGTTTAGGTTGGCCTCCCCAGCATCTTGAACAACCGAAACATTTTGCAGATCTCGAATAGACAATCTTCCTTGAAGTTGCAACAAATTCTTCAAATCAGATAATCTCATCATTCCACTAGCCTTCCCCACCATAAATTTGGACAATGTTACAAGATTTTTAAGATTGCCTATTCCTGATGGCATCTCTTTTAAAGATGGTGTATCAGTGATATCAAGATGATGAAGATCAATTAGATTCTCAATCGTTGTAGGCAACTTAGTAAGCTGATCACAACCACGTAATAGTAGTGTTTGCAGGAAAAAAAGAAAACCCACTGATTCAGATAAACATTTGATATGTGTATTAGACAAATCAATGTATCGAATATGTTTCAAATTTTCAAAAAAATCTGGTAGCTTGCTTATTTTATAGCTGCAGAGAGACAACACTCTTAAGCAATTCAAAGTTGGCAAGAAATCATGCAAAATTTTATTAGACAAATAGCAGTTAAAACCATAACTGAGCTCACTCAACGGCAAGAATGTTCTCAAATGCTTCAATTTATCCAAGATTATGAATCTTTTTGAGATTTCATACTGGCGTGGAGTGAATGACAAATGACGAGCCTTCTCTAATTTTTCATCATCCATGCTATGCTCAAGATTGCAATATATTTCTCTAGCAACATCTATAGCTAAATCATTTATGAGGTCATGCATCACAAACCGTGATTCAACTCCACTAGATTGTTGAAAGAGTGATCGTGATAGCAACTCTTGAAAATATTGATCACCAATCTCCTCTTCCATTTGCTTTTTTCCATGTGACTGTTGCTGTAACAAGCCCCCAGCCATCCATAATAGAACCAACTTCTCTTTGTCAAATTCATAATCTTTAGGGAACAAAGCACAATAAGCAAAGCATCGCTTCAAGTGAGAAGGAAGATGATTGTAGCTCAATCTCAAAGCAGGAAGAATTCCACTTTGATCTTCTGATGAACTCCATATCTCACTATTTAATATATTTTCCCACTCATCACGACACAGTGTTCCTCGCAAGATGCCACCGAGTGTTTTTAACGCCAGTGGCAATCTTTTGCACCTCTTAACAAGCTTCTCACCAACATCTTGTAGGTTTGGGTGGGCATCAAAGTTCTCTTTCCCCAGTGCATGTTGTGTAAATAATGGCAAACAAGCATCATCTTGTAGCAATTCTAAATTGTAAACTCCATCATCTCCTCTCATCATTTTCCCAACATCCTTATTTCGAGTTGTGACAATTATTTTGCTTCCCAAAGCTCCTGACATGAAAGGTCTCTTCAAGACATCCCAGGGACCATATTCCTTATTCCAAACATCATCTAATACAAGAAGAAACTTGTGCCCAGATAACTCCACTTTCAATTCCTCCTGAAGCAAAGCAAAATTTTCAAAATCATACTTTTTCTTAGTAACATGTTCTAAAATGTTTCTTGTTATTCGAGCAACATCAAACTCATCAGAAACACAAACCCATGCCTTCAAGTCAAACCTTCCTTCTAGTTTTTCATCATTATAAATGAGTCGAGCAAGAGTTGTCTTGCCTAGTCCACCCATTCCGACAATGGGAATAACAAAGTCTTGTTCAAGACTACCTCCATCTTCTAGCAACCTATCAAGAATAGCTTTCTTATCACTATCTCGACCACACACATGATCTTCAAGAATTGTAGACTCGTGAGCTCTTTTGGCAGCTTCTTTGTGAGAAATGTCTTCAACTTTCATGGTCAAATTGAAAAGGCCCAAAGTATGCATCCCCTGTTCAATATGTTGTAATCTAACATTCAAATGATTCACCATGGAATTGATCCCTCCATTGGGCTTGGCCTTAGATCTAAATAAACTCTTAAGACTGGATTTGACTTTTTGCCCCTTACTAATGCTGGCTTTAGATTTTGCAATCAATTCAGACCTCTTGGCATCAATCACAAACTCTTCAAGTAAGTCCTCCATATCATAAGCTAAGTTCCTGAGATCATCAAAACATGACTTCACGAATTGGTTGGCAACTTGATTCTCTTCTGCATGTTGAAGTATAGTAGTGATTTTGGGCAAAAGAGTCTTCCAGCTCTCCACTTGCACACATACATCCTCCTTTGAATTCCGTAGTTGATCACTTAGATATCCATCCAACTTTTTGAGTAGCAAGTCAAATGTAGCAGATAAAAGAGAACCTCCAACAAGAGATAAGACCTCCATCGGATAAGAAAGCTTTTCTACAAAAGAGAAAGAGAAATGGATGGAAGTATAAATTAGATTAATCTATTGAATACCTCACATTCATTTGACTATCATCAAATTAGTATTTTATCCTAATGGATTGATTTAATTAGTTTCACGTGTTGGTATTGAAAATAGCAAAGATAATATAAAGAAAAAAAAATTAAAATATATACCATGAATTTTGATTTAGATCTTAAAAGAATTGAAGAAGTAAAGATATCGATTAGAAAGTATTATTATATATACACATACCTTAATTAGCTATGTTGTAACTGCTTTTCCTTTCTCAGTGATGCTTAAAGCTAAAAGTTGTTGGGTTTTGTAGAGAGACTAATTAAGCTTAATTTGATAGAATATTGAGGAATTTGTGTCAATAAAATAAAATATTAAATAGAAAGAGACAATAAAACAACAATTAGGAAAGAAATTTTAATTATTATTATATTAATTAAATACGGACTTTAATTAATAATAATTAGATGTTTTAATGAATTAAAACATAATTAATAAAAAGTTTTAAAATAAAAATATATTTAAACAGTATTAATTAAAACACCTAACATTCTCTATCTGATTTGGTCAATATAATGGTATATATAGAGATTGTTCAATGTAAAAAGGAAAAAAAAATAATAACACACTCATGGAAATAATGATCTAAAGAGATATGTCTATCAAAACACCTAATATTATCTCTCTAGTTTGGTCAATATAATGGTATATGTCGGGCTTATTCAACGTAAATAAGAAAGAAATAATAACATACTCATAGAAGTGATATCCGAAGAGATATATCCATCACAAGATTGAAAAAAGCCAAAGAGAACATATAGTAAAATAAAATTTGAGTAAAAATAATTTAGCCATCTATTAGTTGGGGATATTTTCTGGAAAATAGCTACAAGGATGGAAGAGTAGCACAAGAAGAGGATGGGAAAAAGAGAGAGGCTGTGGGTGGTAGAAGGAGACGGATGAAGTTCTGAGAGAGAATATTTAGGCTGATATGGTATGTAAAATGACTGATTTGAATGTGATGCTAAAAAAGAGTTAATCACATATCCACTACTGCTTTATATATTGGTAGTGTAAATTAATTATTATTGAATAAAATTTAACACTAATATAATGTTAAATTAATTGTACATATCATAAAAATTAAATTTAAAATCTCAAGCTCGAAATTATTCTAAATTCTTAATGGGTTAATATAAGATTATTATTTTTATTTTTTTAAGAATAAAATAAATAAAAATAAAATTATTTTAAATTTTTAACTACAAAATAAAAAAAAAAACTATTATTTTAAAATATGAAGAGCATAAAACATTAAACAAACATTTTATCTGAAAAATTACAAAATTTAAACTTCTTGAAAATCAAATTTCCTAATTACATCTGTCGGTACTTTCTAATATTGGAGTGATATTGATATGTTTTTCCTCAATAGGGTTATGATAGTCATTGCATGGACAGAATATTAGACACAATAAAGGGGTTGATACCATCAAGATGCGGTTTGCTTTATATAATATGGTCCTACAAATAATCAACACGCGATTTGCTTTAAATGAATGTCCAAAAAATATGGCCCTACAAATAATATTGTCTCGAGATTGCTGGATTCACTAAATTCACTGTCCTCACTGTATTTTTTTTTAAAGAATAATAATAAATAAAATTAAAATTTGAGATAAAAATATAAAGGATTTGTTTAATTTGTATTTTTAAAATGTATTAAATATA